GGGGAGCAGAGCGGAGAGGAGCGGAGCGGAGCGGAGGGGGGGGGTGGGGGGGACAGGCTGCATCGCGCGTGGAGGAAAATCTCCTTCCAGGTGGCTGCAGCGCTGCACCCAGGGCGACTAGCCGGCTCCTGGGGTTAGCGCGGTGTGGAGCGTTGCTTCCGTCCAGGGGCCTCGCGTGGAGCTTGTATCCAAAGGATCTGGCTGCTAGAGTAGCTGCTGTGAATATGTTGATTTCCAAGTGCCCTGATTTATTGTCCTAACTGGCTAACCAGCCCCTGGAAAGGATATTCTTGGGATGAAAAAGGGGAGGAAACAAGAAGGAAGCAAAAAGATTTTCGGTTAATACTGAGAGTCACAACAATCTTCAGAAATTCTGGTGCCTCGAAAATGTGTGAGCGTTTGTATTTTTCTTTTCCCTCTCTATTTTAGTGGCTGGAGCAGAACTGTCTCTAGATTGACTCCCTCAGCTGTAGTAGTTGTTTGGGACCATGGCAGCGGGAGTAGCAGCTTGGTTCCCCTTTGCCAGGGCAGCGGCCATAGGATGGATGCCAGTGGCCACAGGTCCCATGCCAGCTGCTCCACGGCAGGAGAGGAAGCGAAGCCAGGACTCTCTGATTGTGCTGAATGTGAGTGGCATCCAGTTCCAGACGTGGCTGGACACCTTAGAGCGCTACCCCGACACTCTCTTGGGCAGTTCAGAGCGGGACTTCTTCTACCACCCTGAGACACAGCAGTACTTTTTTGATCGGGACCCTGACATCTTCCGCCACATTCTCAACTTCTACCGTACCGGGAAGCTTCATTATCCCCGCCAGGAGTGCATCTCGGCTTACGATGAGGAGCTGGCCTTCTTTGGCATCATCCCCGAGATCATTGGCGACTGCTGTTATGAGGAGTACAAGCGTGAAAATGCCGAGCGCCTGCAGGATGATGCGGATCAGGATCATGCTGCCGAGAGCTCCCTGCCCTCAATGACAGCTCGGCAGAGGATGTGGCGGGCCTTTGAAAACCCACACACCAGTACACTGGCTCTGGTCTTCTACTATGTCACTGGTTTCTTCATTGCCGTCTCTGTTATTGCCAACGTGGTGGAGACAGTGCCCTGTGGGGTAAGCCCGGGTCGCATCAAGGAGCTGCCCTGTGGAGAGCGCTACGCTGTAGCTTTCTTCTGTCTGGATACTGCCTGTGTCATGATCTTCACAGTTGAGTATCTCCTCCGTCTGCTGGCAGCCCCTAGTCGCTACAAATTCGTGCGCAGTGTCATGAGTATCATTGATGTGGTCGCCATCATGCCATATTACATTGGTCTGGTGATGACAGATAACGAGGATGTCAGTGGGGCTTTTGTGACGCTACGAGTCTTTCGTGTCTTCAGGATCTTTAAGTTTTCCCGCCACTCACAGGGGCTGCGCATCCTGGGCTATACCCTGAAAAGTTGTGCCTCGGAGTTAGGCTTCCTCCTCTTCTCACTCACTATGGCCATCATCATCTTTGCCACAGTCATGTACTATGCAGAGAAAGGTTCATCAGCCAGCAAGTTCACCAGCATCCCTGCAGCCTTCTGGTACACCATTGTCACCATGACAACACTGGGGTAAGTGCAGCTGGTGTTTGGTTACAGCCAACATTTCAACAAGTGTGTTGGCACGAATGGAAAATGCTCAATTAAAAGAAACTGTTGATAGAAAAAATGTGAGGGTAAGTTTTATGAATACGACCCATCACTTCTTTCTAAATGTTTTACACGTGCAAGTGAGTTAAAAGTGTTGCTGAAGTTCAAATAACCCAAACCCCAAAACTGCAGATAAACTGAAAAAGCAAACAACAAAACAAAACAAAAAATACTGAAACTGTTTGGGCTCTTTGCAATTTTCTCTAGCATTTTATTTGATTTTGGATAGTTAAATTGAAATATTTTATGAATATCTGTGAGTTATCAGTGGATTTTTAGTAGAGAAATGTGTTTGCTGACAGGACTTGTTACAGTGTTCCTAAAGTAGTGATAATTACAAGGAGAACCCAAGTGTGATCCTTCAATTTGATCATGCATAAAAGTATGTGGATCTGCCATTTTGTTTGAAGTGATGTATTGATCTAGACTTGGATATTGAGTTCAGTATTACAAAGTGATTTGTTTTCATGAAAATAAAACAGGTATAGGTATCTTAATCTTCACAAAAAATATTTTTGATGCTATGTAAGACACTGGATAAATTTCCTTTGAATTTCATGGACCCCTAACTTGTAAATGACAAGTGTCAAGCTGCACTGACTGATGACAGACTCTGGAAAATGATCTGAGGAAGTGGGAGACATATGACAGATGAAGGATATGTCTTAAAACATAATTCTAATGGCAATATAAATTCTTCCAGAGAATTAGGAGTTAAAAAATGCCATTGTTGACATTAGATTCCAATGCAGTTTAGTGGACAGACGGGAGATAGCATTATTTTATAAAGTCTCTGATACCAGAGTCATAGTGTACCAGCTGATTCTGTGCACCAAGTTGTAAAATGCGTTCGTCTGTAATTGTAACAGGGATTTAGAAGGTTGACTAATTTGAGAAAACAATTTTTTGCCCTATACTTAATTTTGAGCTGTAGAGTATCATCTATGAAACTGAAAATTTGTTGATTCCTTAGAAACTGTCTAGATATTTATTACAGATATTAAAAGACAAACTTTTCACTTTCGTGAAGACAAAGCCCATCATTTCATTAGGCAAACATTTTGCCACATCTTCTTGGGACTGTTGAGATTTATGAAACATGTATAACTTTTGAATTTAACAAAATGAAAGTGCATTATTAAACTATTGTGAAAAAGTTGATTTATTATGGGCGCTTGTAATTTAGTTGGGAAACTTACATACAAAATATTGAAAAAGATAAAGGGACTCTCTTATACCACCATTTTTTTTACAGGGCTTTTATCTTCAGCATCATATAACAAATGAATATAAATATAGTGCATTGTAAATATTTCATACTACTTGTAAGGGCAAGTTATGCTAAAAAGGAGTGACAAGAGCTTTGGGGATTTTAATTTGCTTTTTAGGTTCCTGGGTTTTCTTGGTTTTAGTTTTATGCTGGTAGTGACAAGCTGAAAGGACAAGTTAGCAGAAGGAACAAGTTAGGCATGATAACTAGTTCTACAGTCCTGTATTTTCTGATGCTGATACTTTTTGCCACATATTTTTAATTAGAATTGTGACGATTTCAACAAATTAGGTCTTAAGAGTTTAGAAATATTTAGAATGTGTGATCTTATTATAAAAGAGCAGGAGCTGGTCTTTTTTTTGTAACAAAAGGTGTTTTTTGAATAAGTTGTTCTGGCGGTGATGGACAGTTTGGGCAGTACTTGTCCATGGTACTGAACATAGTTTTGTCTTCGGTGTTATGACGGGTTTGCAATTCATTATGACACAGGTGTGGTATCTCTTCAGCATTGACATGGGTTGTTTGTTTCTTTAAAGAAAAGAAAAGAAAAGAAAAGAAAAGAAAAGAAAAGAAAAGAAAAGAAAAGAAAAGAAAAGAAAAGAAAAGAAAAGAAAAGAAAAGAAAAGAAAAGAAAAGAAAAGAAAAGAAAAGACAAAGTATTATTCTACAGTTCCAGGTTTTGAGGTGTTATTCTGAGTAAAATCTTCAAAAGTACAGATGAGATTTGTACACCATTAAAATTATCTTTGAATAGAACCTAAGAACCTATTTTACGTACACAGCCATATAATATTTAGGAAGGAAAAGGAAAAAAAAAAAAGAAAAGGAAGAAAAAGGGTTAAAAAGACTACTTGATTCCTTTTTTCAGGTAGTTTGCACAGAGAAAGTTTTGAGCAGGTAGAACAGAGATCCACAGTTTCACCCTCAGAAGTTCAGATATGATTATAAGTTCAGATATGACAGACATTGCAAATTTCTGGGAAATCTTTAATCAATGCATTAGCTACATTATGTCCTTTTAATAACATCATGATAACCATATAGAGATTATGTTTAAATGTTAAATACATATGAATAATTAAAATAGAATTAACATAATAAAAGCTTTGAACTCTTTTTAGTTGGTGGAATAGTTGCACAAAAAGAGAGGAAAATTAGAAGAAAAAGCAGCAAGGGTCAGTGAAAGCTGATTGTAATTAGTATTGCCACCTTTCCTCTGTGCTAAAGCTTCTCATCCGTTTGCTAATACAGAACTCCCATTCATTTTTTGTTTTAGTTTTAGCTGAATTAGGGCTATGTAAATGGACTGCATACGAACAACTTTTTTCTTTTAGCAACAAAGCTAGATGAAGTCTTTATGTTTTAAATGACAGTAACACACAGCAGGTTTTGTGAAACATTACAAAAATACATGAAAGCTAATACCGAATAATAGGTTAACATAAAGTTGAGGTTTTGAGTTTTGGTGTCATTCTCATATTTTGCTAGATAGCAAGGGTATTGAGTAAGCGACCTTTGCAATTTGGGGAGTTATTATCTTGGAAGCAGAGCTATATTTCTCAGTTCTGCATGATTGCTGAGCAATTAAAGTGTCTTTAAAAAACATAGATTACATTTTCCTCTGCAGAGTGCCAGTGACTTCAAATATTACTACATTTCAGCCTCCAAGGATATCCCAGCTATTAACTTCTTGACTGCTCAACTCAAGTAGTACATAGTTGTACAAGGAGATGTTATATGAAAGAAATGAAAGAAAGGGAAGAAAGAGAGAGCAAGAAAGAGATAAAGGCTGAGAGAGAGAGAGAGAGAAGAGAGAAAAAGATGACTCTAGAATAACAGCATGTGCTCTGCCAGAAACTGAGCTATCTGATTTCAAATTTCAAACTAGTGTTTTATCAGTATTCATTGTGGCAAAAGCAAAAGTAAAGTAGGGACACGATGGGGCAAGAGAATAAATTTGAAAGTGGTCACAAAGCAGTTTGTGGAGATTCAAGATAACAATGAAAAGCATAGAAGTTAGGGGCATAAAGGTCAAGAAACAGGGTAGTGTAAAACCTGGCAGAGAAAAAAACTCAAGTTTGTTAAATCGGGACTGGCAGACTTACATGGGGGCTAGTGGAAAGCTGCACCCACAATGACACAGTTGTGTCACTTTCCACTGTCATCTCATAACACGATAATCTAATAACTTTCCTTCTGCCCTGTCAGTATCCAGCAAAGGAGCTGGAGTAGCTGGTAAGGTTTTGATGGTGTAAGGGTAATATTTGTTCCCAAATCAGTCAGAGCTATAGTGTAGTTTATGTTTTATAAAGAAATTTAATTTAAATAAGGTGATCTTCTGTGACTAGTTCTAAAGCCTCACTGCTATATTAAATGTCTGTATTCATAGGCTTTACATTAAACAGCTTTGTCAAGTCATACTTTTGTAGATGAGCACAATACTTTATGAAGATAAGCGTAAAAACAAGACTATTCATTTATTTGTTTTGATTGTATAAAGTGGCAGTGTGTCTTCCAGAAAAGATAAACCAACCATTCTTTTTCATCATTTGTTAATATAGCCCATAACATATGAGGAAGCCCATCTAAGATATATCAAATTCCCTGAAGACTATAATCAAATAGGTGACTGAATGTGACAACAGAAAGCCTGAAAAGGTGAGGGAAATAGGGCAATAGATTTCATTTTCCTGTACATTCCGTTGTTCCCCATCTTCACTCCTTTTCCATTCTTATTGCATCCCTATGGGTATATTCCACCTATTTGTTTTCTTCACTTTTCTTTCAAACTACCACTTTCCATAGTCTTCCTATTTGGGGATTTGTCTGCTGGCTTAGCACCTTTTCTGTCTTGTTCAAGACAAGTTTAACATTCATATTAAGACCATTCTGGCTTTATTTTTTCAGCTCCTTTGTTCCAGATTCCTCATTCATCCTCCACCATTAGATCAAATCTTTCATTCATCATTGTTGTCATTCATTTGACCTGCACTTTCCTCATAACAGTTTTTTTTCTCCCGACCTTTGTTTGATAGATTTTTTCCTTATGAGCATCATAAAATTTCCACAACATCACTTTTTTCCCAAATGCCACACAGATTATCTTGTTTTCCTTTTCTGCCCATTGTGAGTGCCTTTAGTGTCTTACGGTCTCTGCATGCTAGTTTGAAAACATCCATCTCTTCAGAACTCGTATTAAAAAAATTGAGTTCAATAAAATCTAACAAGAGATCACAAAATTAGAAACCTTTATTTTGTGAACAATTTCTTCAGAAGTTTAGAAATACTCTTATGATGAATATTACATAGGTAAAGATTAGCAAAGTTAGAATATTATTTCTGTATCTCATATTTACACCTTGGCTCATTCATTCATTTTGTGTTTGATATTTTCAACCCTGTTTCAACTAGCCTTTTTCTATTTTCATATTCTTGTATAAAACCTAGTGAATTTTGTATTTTGCAAATGTGTTTGATGTCTCAATCTATTTTCTCTTCACAGCAGAGATGCTTAGCTTGAATAGCTAGAATACTGTATAACAGAGGAGGGACAAAGTGCAGTGTAATCACCTTCAAAGCACACTACTAGATATTCATAAAGAGCTCCAGGGAGAATTTGAAATACTGAAAAGTAAGGGTCATTTTGATGGCA